TTTGATTTTAGACATATAATTTAACATCGGCGTACTTATTTATTTCAATATTTATCAACTTCATTTTTGAAAATCAATCTTTAAAACGCAGAAAACATGCGAATTCAAGCAAGTTTTTGAAAGGCTTAAAAACTTGCTAGGCACCGCTATATTTATTTTTATCCTTGATATACATTTTCCTGTTTTATTCCTCTGTAAGGACGTACATCCAGCTTTCCCTTAACTAAAGGACATGACTCAGAAAAAGTTCGAACCTTACCCTGCTCTTATACGCCTTCGGAAAATCCATCGCGGAAAATCAAATCACAGCACACTTAATCACCAAAACTAACACACAGCCGCCTTAGAGAGCACTTCCGGTTTTCCTGCCTGCATCCGCGAAAAACCGGAGGATTTTGGAATTGAAATCGCGTTAGGGATCTAGTGACATCAGTCCGTGAAATAAATGAAAGCGCTTTTGTAAATTCGCGCGCGCACAGATACTCGACTCTATGCCACTGTTACAAACGGTCTATTTTCAACGGTGAAGCGTTTTCATTAAAACATTTTATTAGTGTAGGAGATGAGAGTGAATCAACACATGTACATTTTCCATCGCCGCTTGTCCAGCTGAATGGCCTAACAGGAGGCATGGGCGCCGAAAGGGGCAACATTAATATTGTCATTGGGTACATCTACTTTATAGTGAGGATATTTTTATATTTTGTTGAGATTTAAAGATAACCTGGATTTTAAAAACAATGTAACATGTCTGTATCTAGTATTATTGATGAACGACTTTTGAAGTCCCATGAGTGAAAAATAATTGAAGTAATCCTGTATACAGATTAAGTTCTAACATGCCCCAACAGGAATCAAAGTTAAAGAAACAAATTTGGCAATATTTCGAAAACCATTTTATTAGCCAAGCTAAAAATTTCAGCAATTACGTTTTTGTTAGATTTATATTTGTCTGCTCATCGGTAGAGGGCGCTAGTTACATCCTACTACTGCAGTATATTCATTTTAACGAAGAGTAAACTGCATTTATCATTTTGTACGCCACAATTCCTCCACTCAAGGAAATTCCCCTTATTTCCTCCATGAATTCTTTCGAATTCAACTAACTTCCTCTTGAATTCCTCGAGCTTGCTCTTGAATTCCTTGGATCTCCCCATGATTTCTCCATGATTTCTCCGGCTTTTTCTCGAATCCCTCTATTTTAAATTCCCGTTTTTTTTTCTGTATTAAACGAAAAAGAAAGTTAAAGTCGACGTAAAAATGTAATATGTTTTTTTAAAATAAATATCTTCCAACACTTCGACTTCACTACAAAAAACTATTAAAAAAAGGTATACAAAAAAAAACTATGGTGATTCAGTCATAATGCTATAAATATTAACCACGCATTAGGAAGTGCTAATAAAGACAGAAAATCGGAAAAAAAAAATTCCGACCTTTTGAAAAATAAGCAAATTACTTACTCCTTAACCGGGAGTTAATTTGGCGCTCCACTTCGTAATACGGAACGCGCCGCGCAGACAGGCGGAGTACACAGCCATCGGACGTTGTAGCGAAACAGCTGATTTCTTAGTCGCCGTCAAAATCAAAGCGCAAAGGATCTCAACTTTATTAAGACTTTTATGGACGAATGAATGTGTGTTTTTTAGCCGTATTTGTCATTTTAAATAAGTAGGTACCATATAACTGAAATGTAATAACTCACACAATATATATACGTACTACAAACTGAATAATTATTACCTACTTGAACATATTTAATACTAAAAACTCATATACAGTTACAGAACACGCTAAGAATATTAAAGTTAGATTAGTGACCGAACAGTACGGTACGTCAAGATTCACTCTCCATAAACCTTTGTAGGTCAGCGGTCAGGAGCGGTCCGAAAAGGGGTAAGCAATATTTTTTCAGCGTAAACATACATTTTAAAATATTTTTAATCACGCATTTGTATTCTACTCATTTTTCCCTATCTTCCCTTAAAATTAATGACATGACTGAATCATCCTGTATTCAGGGTGATTCACAACTTATCCAAAAAATTTGGGAATAGATGCGGCATGAGAAATGGGGTCAATACTGTAAAAAAAATTTTTGTTAAATCCTTATAGTTTCTGAGAAAAAAATTATTGAAGTTATAGCACATTAAACCACTGCATAGCTGGACAACCGTAGTCTCTAGCGTCATTCGCAATACGCGTGGAGAGCCATCCTAATACTGAAATCCGTCGTTGCGGTAGTTTTTACCTGTTATCTGTGGTATTTACATCAGTTTTTTAGTAGTTAGTATCAAAAATGGCTTGCGTGTATAGCAACTCAGAGTTGATGGATATCGTTTTAATTTATGGTGAAGCAAGACAACATTTGTATTATGGTGAAGTATTTGTGTTATGGTGAAGCAAGACATCATTTGTGTTAGTTCGTAGAAAGTGAGTAAGACGGACCCAAATGTGTTTACACGTGAGTGGATAAAATTTTGAACAATTGCTGTTGCAGCATCAGGTATGTCAAATAATTTTATTATTTAAAAACACAAATTAATTTTATTAATAATTAATAAAGGCAAAAGCATTTGAATTTGCCGATATAAAATAGGTGCGATAAAATTCTATTTACATATTTCTTTCCTTGCGAAAGTTTTTGTCCGTTTTTATTACGCCGCCATACCGGTCGCATTGTGCGAGGTCAGGTTTTACAGTGGACCAGTTTCCAGTGCCGTGCAGAAGTGTATTTTTAAATCAATTTCGAACTGACCTTTTTGATTTTTTCTTTACAAAATTGAATTTGTAAGGGTCCCCTGTACATCTGTATATTTAATGCATATAAATTGACCAATTAATTTTTAGCCCTCTAAACATTAGGTATCCCCCACTGTTACGCCTCTGCGTACGGCCAGTCCATACGATAATTCTACAGCTGATTCTAGGTCGTAGATTACGAGGCATGACATTAAATACCAGTTATTTGCCCAATGTCTTTGTTGATATCAAATATTTGCCCGGACGGAACTCAAGCCGGGGTCCTACCGACTTCGTGTAAACAGCCATTATTTTTAAATCAAGGAGAGTTTATAAGACCGGTGGTATTTATTTATGATGGTGTTGATAAAGTGTGCGGCTACTTGTCTATTTTTACTTGCGTCAGACATGAAATTGGTGCGGCCACTACTGGTTCCGATAGCGAAAAGGCATTCTAAAAATAAACGAGTTAACGGGTTATTGGTTAATTCTCTGCCAGCGATTGGAATTCTGCAAATCGATAACCCTTCAAAACAAGCGTCCTGAGGTACAACGTGAATCATGGATGTTTTCAAAGCCCTCTATTTAATTGTCATTTGCATTAATTAATTCATGAAAGTTATCCATTGCTAACAACGAAATCTGCACGTACAGTGTTGTCAAAAAGTTTACAGTAGCTTTTTCAGATGTATTTCAGTAAGCGTCAAAGTAATTTCAGAAAGCGTCATTTCAGTTTCATCTGATTGTGAATAAATTTATTTTCAAAAGGCATTGTTCCTTTGCTAAATCTGATTGTGAATCGTTGATAGATCAGTTGTGTTTTAGAAAATGTTAACTGTCAAAATTCGTAAATTTAATTTCATAAAATTTCAGTTATCTATCAGCGAGCGTAAATTGTTTTTTTTTGTGCTGTTGATCTAGAAAGTATTTGTTTCTAATCGCTTTTTAGCTCGGAAGGTGCATATTTGCCGATCTAGATCGGTAAGTAGAAGAGAGTTCGATAAAGTGATATAAGAGCTTAGTAACTTTACCGCGCCCTTACGTCAAAACATACAGTAAAAACGAAATATGCATGTATCACAGTTGTCTGTCAGCAGAAATGTTTTAGCCATAGGTTTAATACAGTATACTGCAGGGTGTAAAATGTTTGACTGCCATTACTTCAGCATGAGATAGAGTAATCATAAATGGTTAACAGTTTTCAAAATACAGCGAGTATTAATTACGTTTTTTTTCGCGACTGAACATTTGTGAATATCTGACTTGTAGTTACTATTTCTATCTCTTTTGATCTTAATTGTCATATGGTAGTTTAAATCTCTTCATTCACTCATACTACACATACTACAACATACGACTTCACTTGCGAAAAAAAGCCTAATATTAGAGAGTTGCATCACAACGTGACAACATCGCTTAACCTGCTAAATGCATTTCACGTGTACACGCGGCAGACTTGTCCTACGGAAAAAATGTAAACAGCTATTATTGTGAACATTTAGTAAGTTTCAAGACAATTGTTTTCCAGTTTTTAAATAAATAAAATAAAATGTATCGATTTTGTAGTACGAAGATAGTGTTGTGCTTAAATTTTAGCTTGAATTTTAATAATTATGAATCTCTTAAAACAGGAACTTAACTTTTAATCAAATTACGTATTTGAAAAATATGTAATTAAAGTACCCAAAGATTCACGTCCTCCAAATAATCAATCATACGTATTAAAAATAGCAAAATTCAGTAATTTTTAAACGTGCGAGTACAAAACAAACTACAACATATGCTCAAAATGTCCATCACCATTTTCGATGCACGCAAAACACCTTCGAATCCAATTTTCGCGCACTCGCTGGAAAACACCTTAAGAAAAGGACATAGTGGTAAGCAAAAAACACTCCGACACAGTCGAATCCAGATACCAACTCAATTGCGTATTGGTGGTTGGTGGACACCTTAGTACCTTGTGTTAATAAACCGCCGCGCCGTTGTCACATTGCTCGATATGAATTTTATCGAATTTTAAATTTATTACAACGCTAATTATTTTTTAAAATTAAGCATAAAGAAGTTCAAAAAAGTGATCATAAAAATTAACTAATATTGTTTGTCGTTATTCGGCGTGCTTGAAAATGACTACATACTCAACATAGAATTGTCGTTATTCACAAGTCAAAACTAGTTCAGCAATTAAAATTAAAAAAAAGAGAAATGCGGTTAACATGGTCTTTTCAATCTAAATAAAAATTTCCATGACTTACCCTCCGTTCTTCCTCCCTGGCAGCCCTGAGGTGGCACTCGATCGCCTCCAGATCGATCTTAGGCATTGCCGTTTCAATGTTGTAAACATCAAATCCACCTTGAAAAGAACATTATGCAAATCAGAAAACCAGCGCACGCAGGTGGTTGGGTTTGGTTTATTATGAAACTTTTCAATTTACTATTTTTAAGAAACGTCTAGAGGGGTAGTTATAAATGATGTATGAGGTTCGGAATAGGTACGCTTGTCAGATGAAGGGAAGTATATTAAAAAAAATACATATATAAAGTGATACAGAAGGGTGCGGGGCTTGGTATGGGGTGTTCTATGTCTCAAGACATGACCTTAAAAGTTTTTTAAAGATGATTTCAAAGATGTTAAGGAGAGAGTGCAAATTATTTATACATATAACAATTTCTTCGGGATGGACAATTTCTACTTCTCCTCATAAGTCTCCTGTTTATACAATTTCTACAGGTTGATCCATTTCAAATGGAAAGACCCTTGTAAAACATTTATTTTTTGACCGACTTTGAAAGATGGACCTTTAAATAGTCCATTAAAGCACATAATTATGTGTATTTATTTTCGGTTATCAAAGCTTACTTTTAAATTTTTTTCGATAAAAACAGGTTAGGTTAGGTTATTTTTGTGTTTAAAATCTGAGTGTGCCACTGGATTCTGTACCCTCTCCATGTAATCTGTACCAAATTTCGAGAAAAAATATGTATAGCTCATTGTAATATTAATTAATATAAATAAACATTTTATCATTTTCGTTCCTCCTAAACGGGGTAAGCAACAGTGGTGGCTGGTGCGGGGGGTCTGGGGCGCCGCCTCCCGATAGGAATTTTCATAGTAAAAAAAATTATTTAAAATTTAGTTTAAAATGTGATCTATATAACTAAATAGATTAGCCTTATGGAACACCATAAAAAAGAAATGTTAAATTTGTATAGTGTGCAGTCAGTTTAACTCTACTTGTAAAATTCGTTTACAAAACTCTGAATATAATGGACTCCTCTACATCTGTAAAGTGTTTACAGCGGTGGTTATGGTTACCGTTGCACAGCAGTGAAAGACTGAGCGGAAGTAGAGCATCTTTACTATGCAGTTTGGCTCTGTTTACTACCGCCTTTTTTTCTTAATAAACGTAACGTGTAAAATTTTGTTACTTCCGTATTGTTTCTTGTTCTAAAAAAAATGTAAAAGTTTAAATTGATTGTAGTTGCAATGCTATTTATTGAAAAATCAGTGGTGCGAGAAACAGCAAACTTTAATGAAAAAGTAATTGAAAAGTTTTTTTCGGACAAAATCAGAAGAATGGACTTCGACTATAAAAAATAATGTTGAGACATTTTCCCTATATTTTTCCGTCAAGAGCCGCCACTGGTAAGCAACTTAAGGAAATAAATTAAATAGACAAAATGATCATTAATGTGTTCCTCTTTAACATCGAACCATTATAATTACGAATACACATATTAGTGAACATTTTATTTATGATTCCATAGGTTTTTTCTCCCGTTTAGAAAGAACAGAAATGATAAAACCTTTAACTTTACAATGAGCAATAAATATTTCTTCACGAAATTTGGTACAAATCACATTGAGGAAGTGTAAAATCCAGTGGCGTAGTCAGATTTTAAATAAAAAATTTTGACAACCAATTTTTGTCAAATTTGACACCGAAAAAAAAGTAGACTTTGATAACTGAAAATTAATTTATGTTATATGATGTAATAGAATTTTTTAAAATCTCAAAGATAATCCAAATTTTTTGCAAGGCCGTTTCTATTTGAAATCGGTCATAGAGAGTGTTTCCAAAATGTGGTGCAAAACTGAAGAAGAAAATAAGAAACGTTTAGTAGATAAATTATACACGTTTTTTTTTTTAAATAACTTCGGTTACCGGATCCAAATAAAACTTTTTTACTGTTTTTAGATCTAACTTCTCAAGTATTTCTTTTTACTTATTAATACATTTTCTATCTCTTGCTTCAATGTGGCGTCAAAATTTAAATTCACTCTGTATATACTTTCTATCAGTGGCGTGCTCTCACTATAACTTTGGGAAAATTTAAATTAAATTGTTTATGAAATGATTGGCATTATACAGGATGTTTCATAATCATGTGCAAATATTTTCAGCAGGTTTTTAGAAAGTAATTTTATTCTATATATTTTTTGAATTGAACCCCCCCTGAGAAAATATTCAAATCTGAAATCAACATGTAAAAAATGTATTGGAAGTACCCCCCCTAAAATTACCTTTTAAATACTTCCTTAAAATATTTGTACATCATTATGAAACACCCTGTATAACTCAAAAACTATTATATACAACAGTTCTACAAGACCTTTTTACAATTTAAAATAATATAATAATCCATCACTTCGACTTGATTTTATCATCTGTACACGAAACAATCGAGTGGGGTCATATTTATACAGAGGCTTGCTTCGACCTTTATAACCATGTTATTAATTTTTCAAGCAAAAACTTTTATCAAGAATGCCTATTTTTCGTATCTTTCACTTTTTGGTCCATTTGTCCTCTTGTAAACTCAATGCGCGGACATACTGAATACAAGGTGTTAACGGAATAAGTACTCAAAATTTTTAGACAGTTTCGAAAAGTTTCACACACTTTGACCTTGAAAAACCTTGAAATGACCTTGAAATAACCTCTGGGTGACATCCTCGGGTCAAACAAATTCCAGATTCGGATTCAGCGACCTCGAAAACCTTCACAAAGTTTTTCAAATTTTTCTATGCAGTTATTCTCCCTTTGACCTTCAAATGACCTTGAGCCTGATGTGATAGAGGTCAACCGACTCCAAAAACTTTTGTGTGAAGGTTTTTAGTTAGTTTCAAAAAGTTTCACACACTTTGACATTGAAAAACCTTGAAATGACCTTGAAATAACCTTTGGGTGACCTTGTCGGGTAAAACAAAAGCCGGATTCGGATTCAGCGACCTCGAAAACCTTCACAAAGTTTTTCAAATTTTTCTATGCAGTTATTCTCCCTTTGACCTTCAAATGACTTTGAGCCTGATCTGATAGAGGTCAACCGACCCCAAAAACCTTTGTGTGAAGGTTTTTAGTTAGTTTCAAAAAGTTTAACACACTTTGACATTGAAAAACCTTGAAATGACCTTGAAATAACCTTTGGGTGACCTTGTCGGGTAAAACAAAAGCCGGATTAGGATTCAGCGACCTCGAAAACTTTGACAAAAAGTTTTTCAAATTTCTCTAAGCAGTTATTCTCTCTTTAATCTTCAAATGACCTTGAACCTGATGTGATAGAGGTCAACCGACCCCGGACTCGAAATCAGCGACCCCAAAAACCCTAGAGCACCCTACTGAGGTCTAGAGATACTCCCTATATCAAATGTTGACCTATGTAATCGGTATAATATACAAATCAAAATTGGCTACAGGTGCCTAAGAAAATGCGGGATCATGGGGCAAATTTTACAATAATTTTCTTTTGTACGTTATTTTTTCTACTTCCTGAACCGAAAATATGAAAATGTATCATATTTCGCATAAAAAAGGTAGCGATTTAATATCAAACCGTTTCCTGAGTTACCCCTTCAAGGGGCCGCCACTGACAAAAGCTCTACTAAGGTTTTCATAATATTTCGACATGTTTTACATAACCTCCAATTTTGAGTACTTATATTGTTAACACCTTGTATATTTCTTTTTTAATGCTCACTGTAGCTCGAACCAAAAAACGAATAACGATATGGTAATTCACAAAAAATGAACGTGAATTGTGTTGCTACGACGTAAAATTACAATTTCCGATTCACCCCGAGGTGCAAATTGTTATTATTGTTGTACGGCATGCACGTAATCCCCACGTCCACAATTGCGTGGCAGCTCTCCAGGTTCAACCGTTACCGGCCGCAAAATCTAATAGTCTTCAGCACGGACGGCGGACTCATTTCGCTAAAATCTAATTGAGGGCGGCGCGGGGACGGCGGCATTGTATAATTTACATGAGGCAACGGAAGCACCTCGTAGGGGCGGCCGCGTAATACGTGATAATTGGACGTGGAGGTCTCGGCAAGAGATAATTATTTTGTTTTGGCGTCGCGCGCTTCAGCGTATTATTTCGGGCTCATCAAATGTCGGTTTAATTGTTCATATATTTCCCCTTGTACCACGAAGTGAGTCGAAGTAAAGACTTGAGTTTCAAGGTCATTGCCAGAATCTAACAGATTGAATTTATGTCAGGGGGATTCATTTGATATAGGCGGAAACTAACTCTAATATCTACACAGACACACAAAAAAAAGACCCAGAGGGTAGACCCCCTACTCCGTTTTGCTGAAACTGAATATGACCATAAAAGAAAATAACTATCCATTTTCTCGTTACCACCCCCATACACCCTCTATGTTCCTATGTTTTCTGGGCCACTAAGAACGAAGAAGATTACCTAAAATGAATTAGGCCCCCTCGTTACCCACTATCGTCACTTTACCACCCCCATATACCCCTTTCTGGGAGTTGAAATGTCAATTCTCATACAAAGTCGAGTGGGTTATGTATGCCTACGTTTTCTAGGCTGCTGAAAACAAAGAAGACTACCGAAAATGAATCCAACCCCCTCGTCAACACTCAGCACCCTTTTCCACCCACATACACGCCCTTATGAAAGTTGGAATGGCAATTTTCATACAAAGTCAAGTGTGGTGTGATTCGGGGTAACTTTTGAGACGAGTCCCCTCGTCTCTCATAGTTCAGGGTACCTTTTCAACCGTAAGTTCCCTCGCCTTTCCGAAATTGGAGTACTTTTTCAACTTTCCAAGGGCTGTTCGTGTGAAAACCTACCAGTTCGTGAGAAATAAGAGGGTTCACCCGTTGAACAATCGTGAGGGGTGAGGGAACTTACATTTGAAAAAGCACCCTGATTCGTGAGAGGCGAGGGGATTTACAGTTGAAAAAGTACTCATTTATGGCGTGTATTGAATAGAGAAATGTTACATACATTTCATCGCCAAAACGGTGATAGATACAAAAAATCTGATATCGATGTCCCGTCCTCTTCTTTTGAGTTTACTTCGCTGGTACCAAAAGATCT